TCTATAGGAGGATGAAAACCTTATTCTCCTGCCTGTATCCTCGATTCCACCATTTCTCATCCATTGCTCGGTCCTTACTTCCTTTCCATCATTGGTGGCTGATCCTTCTTCCATTACAGTTCTACCTTCAGGATCGCTCTTCTAAAATCTCATTTCCTTTTCACCTGCTTTCAAAAATCTCTGAAAAATATATCTCTTTGATGTGTTCACCAACCTTAATTTTCCCTCATTCACCTCAATGCACCCTATGCTTTGAAACTCTATCTTACATGAATGGTGGTAAACACAGTGTAAATCAAATGTGCTTTCCCATAATGAACATGAGATGTTCAAACTACATGCCATGTAGACGTTTACCCAGATCAACCTGGTGACAAAAACTTCCACGAACATGATGAAAGACATCTCCTATGATAGCTGCACACTCTCTACCAATGTTGTCTTAAAAAAACATAATTAATAACTAAAAAATTTATGAGTAAGGACTTCTGATTCACCCTGTATAAGTGGAAGTTGTTGTTGTTAAGTCAATTCAATGGCTGTATTTTGTGGGTAAGAGGCGGTTGGGCACTCTATGTTGTACAGAGAGATGCATCTCGTGGAGGTTGGGTTCAGTGTAGAACAATAGCAAATCAGTTTATTTTAATATAACAAGGATTATCAAAAATGAAGATACATACTTATGTAATTATCCACCCAAATAAAATTGATCATTCACTTCATGGCTGCTTGTGGGACACTGGTGCGCATTTTGAATAAAGCTCTCTACTTTGTACCATTTCCTTCTTCTCCACCCCCCCACCCTCACCCATAGCATTTTATATATCTCTATTTCAAATATTTATCCAAATCTCCCTTAAATTCTCATGTGAATTTTGCCTCAAGCACCGTTCCATGTCCTAACAATGTTCTGTATATTTTTAAAAATTCTCATCTCTGCCTTTGTTCTTTAGGTAAATACCAAATCAGCAAACAATGGAAATATTTTTTCTGGGAACATTATCAAAACCCCTCATAGTTTAAAAAAAGTTCTCTCAAGTCTCCTCTCAACCTGTTCAAAATACTCCCAATTCCTCTACATAAGTAAAACCTCTCATCCTTGGGAACATCCCTGTGAATCCCTCTGCACTTTCTCTATGGCCTTTAGCTGGTTGTCCAAAATTGAAAACAATATTCCACCGGTGGCCTAACTGATGATTTATGCAGGCTTAACATTACACCTTTATTCTGTCATCTTTTTTATCCAGCTTTGTCATCTTATTTTGTCAACCAGTCAACGTAAATTAATAGAAAAATGAAACTTGCATAAATGCAATTTAATGGGGAGACCACCACCCCATCAGAGATAGAAGTGATTGTACTGAGGAACAGTGTCTATTAAGCTTTGGGAAATAGTGGTATAGTAACATTGCCAGGGCACCACCATTCTCTTCAGAGTAGTAACCAGCTAAGGCTTGCTGAATGCCAAAACTGAATTATAGTATAATAATATTGCATTCCCTGGGCAAACTTCACTATTATGGATTTCCCTGTCCTAATCCTTCAAGCACTGCAGACTGCTGAACATCTGTGTCAGCAATAAGTTGGCACAGCAGTGGGGAGAACACAGCAAACAGGTTTTGCTGTTGTCATATTTTATTGGCTTCATGCACCATTATGCAAATTCTATTTAGTAGTGAGTTACGGTTAATAGAATTTTACTAGCTTTAGTCCACTGGCAGCTATAAATTTTCTCATCAGCAAGCACAGGCGGCAGGTAAAAATATTCACCCTTGGTGAGCCGTTGATTTGACTGTCAGGTCCATCTACTAATCGGAGATGAGGACGCCCTGACAAGTAGCCCACTGGACCGGAGTTAGATGGGCCCAACGAACATATTGGGAGAGGAGCAAGAGGGGGGCCAATGGATGACTTGGTTGGGCTGCTCAGAGGATTGGCCTGAGGGCCCTTAAAGAGGTGAACTGTAGATAGATGGGAGGGAGGGAGCCCCCTCTGGCCTAGCCACACACCACCTAAGCTACTGGTCTGATTACAGTCAGCCTGTTAGCCAAGTGGGAGTTATGCATAGTGCTGAATGAAATCTTTGGTTTAAAATTAACCATGCTGAAAAATAACTGAACAACTCAGTTCCATTTTAATTTATTTCCTATGAAAGGAGAGCTTTTACCCATTGAGGAATAAATGACAATGGTCTGTGACCTGACACATAAAAGTCACAGATAAATCGCCCAGGATTAAAGAAATAACAATCATGAGAACCGTCAACTTTGGAACAATGGAGCGAAAAATGTTCCAGTTAATAGCTGCAATGGGGAATACCCACCAACTTCATTACAATGGTTTTATTCAAAATTGGTTACAAGTCATCAAGTTGGCTGACAGTGCATTTGAACCTGTCATCACATAGATCTCAGTACTCTAGCTCTGGTTGGGCAGTCGCCAACTGATCAAGTTGGAATCCTTAAAAGTTATTTAGGAAACATGTTGTTCCTTCTCTAGATTTTCAATTTAATCCTTAATCTATTTTTTCATGTGGGCTCAAGCCACAAATTGGGTCTGCCATTCCATTGCCACTCAAGTGCAATAGGAAGGAAAACATTACATTGGCATTCAAATGAGATATTAAACCTAGGTCCCATCTGCCTATTCAAGTAGAAGTTAAACATTATATGACCAATTTTAAAAAAGAAAGCGTTTTTCTCCTTGTATTCCAGCTAGAAACCCCGCTAGATTAATTGGTCATGTCTCGATTGCTTGCTGGCACAAATGTGAAAAACAGTCACTACGCTAGACAGTAATTAATTTGAAATCCTTTGAGATATTTTAACATAAGATGCTCTAAAATTACAAGTTCTTCCACAGATTTTTAAATCCACAGATTTAAAATTACCTGGCCTGTCTTTCCAGATCCTGCAGCACCATGTTACATTATGGTTTTGCTGGATGAAATGCTTAGAGAAGCCTAGTACAAAGACATGCTCATCTTTAAGACCACAGCATTTATATTTGTACCAAACTGAACTGACCTCTTCAGCATTCAGTGCAAAGTTCTAAGAATTAATTGGGTGATACAAATAGAAAAAGCCCATTAGGTCCAAAAACCTTGCCCCCCTTTGATGATTAACCCACCTCTTCTCATCCTTCAGTCTCTTGTGTGTGTGTTTCTGTGTAAAATGTCACATCTTCAATGGAAACACTGTTCCATCAACCTTTAAAAGACCTTAGTTTCTTGAGTGATAACATTGAATGATGTGGTCTGGTACAGATAATTTGCCTGTTGCAGGCACATTTATTGCCACTATTCTCCTGCATCAGAATGCAGCAATATGTCATTTTAAGCATTGGCTCTTGCAGGATAGAACAGAGTTTACAGATCCCCATTTTAAATAGCTCTATGGCTAGTTGAACTTTGGTGTCTTTATGAAATATTGCAAAATAATTACACTTCATAGAAACAAAGATTCATTAGAATTGGCACAATGAGATAGCCTCAGAGATGTTCAATTTATTTTTATGCTCTGTTGTATATACTTCTAATACAATGTTGACTTTAGGAAAGAGGAATCCTTTCTTCTCCAAATGGCTTTCGGGAGCAAAGCCAAACAAATGATAGTGAAGCATGTTGCTGTCAGCTACGTTGCTGGAATTATGAGACTAACCTTTTAAAATGCCTGAACACTATTATACATTGTTACCTGAAGAATATCTTTAACAGACAATAATACAACCCTTGCATTTGATATAGCACCTCATCACATCTCAAAAGCACTTCACTGTAAAGTGACGTGGCTATATGTATTTTGTGGGCAAACTCAATGGCGAATTTGTGCAAACTCTCAAAACTAACCATGGAGTGAGTGACTAATTTTATTTGGGGAATTTGTTTGCCAGGATACCAGGAAAAACTCGCTTTTCTTTTTGAATAGTGTAATAGCATCTTTAAATCTACTTGGACAAGTAGACACAAACTCAGTTTAACATCTGATCTTAAGGACAACACCTCTGACAATGCAGGATACTCCTGCATTATTAATGCACTGCAATGCATTGTCAGCATAAACCATATTTATTCCATGTCCTGCTTTGGGGCTTGAACATACATTGTTTGGACTCAAAAGGTGAGAGAGCTACGAACTGTGTCAGAATGACATATAAATCTCGGATTTCTGAGTTTCTTAAAATTTATTTTTGCCGCATCTTTTGAATAGGCTTTTATTTTAGGGTTTTCCTCCAACATGTAGCAGTGGAAAGGGTGGAGAATCAATCTTGCTCCCAAGCTTCATTTCTGCCATCCAGGAAAATTTATAGATATATGTCTTTGACTGACTGAGCAGTCATTTCTCCCCTCTTCAATCCCAGCTTCGCGTGCACAATTAGCAGTATAAAGCACTTTGTGACATCCTCCCAATGTGAAAGGTGCTATATAAAAGTAAATTGTATTATATAATGTTGCTTTAAAATCTGAAATTTCAGTTCCAGTTCACTCCTAATTGAAGAAATATCTGAATGGAAAAGCCTCCTGGGAGTAGGTGTGCTGGCCCTCGCAGCATGTCTTTTTCCATATTAATTTAAGGATTTTACAACACAATATTCACTTTGATTTAGTATAAACCAAGTCTTTAAATTCAGATAGGCTTATTTTTAAGCCATTGCTTAAATAAACCGATAAATGTCACAACACTAATTTGAATTAAATTGCATGTAATAAATTAATTTGCTTTATTCAATGTACATTTAAACAACTAGGATTTATATAGCACCTTCACACTGGGTTAGTGCCTTGTCGCACTTAAAACTGATGGAGCTTGACACAGAACCAGGGAGGGGGATTGACCTTAAGCACAGTCGAAGAGGAAGGTCTTCAGATGTGATCTGAAAGTGGGCAAAGAGGGGGCAAGGTGAAAGGATTGAGGTGAAAGGAGTAGGAAACTGTAAGAGGAAGTGTAAGTTAGTAAAAAGTTTTTATAGCATGTATATAATTTCAAATAATGAAGGTGATATTTCTTGCCTCACACAATTTTATTGATTTTTTTTTAAAGAATTTCTTCTCATGATCCGACTCCAATAACATTGATTAAATTGCCACCTGCAGTAAACCTATAGTAAGAATGGTATTTAGATTACTGTGGTGTGCCACAGGAAAGCTGGTAAAACTTGCACTGCTGGGATTATCGGTGCTTAAATGGAATCTCTTTTCTACATCGGCGCCAGATGACTAGGCTAGAGGGGGCTCAGCCCATCTCCTCCAAAATCACCTCTTTAAGAGTTGGTGGGAGAAAGCTGAGCCCCAAGGAGGACCATTCCCAGTCCTCTGAGGAGCCCTAACCCACAGCATCCGCAGGCCCCATCTTGCCCCTCTTCCCAACTTGACGTTGATACCTGCCTACTTCCAATCCAGTGGGCTGCTGGTCAGGGCATCCTCACCTCTGATTGTCCTATGACTTGACTGACGAGTGCAATGGCTCACCTGTCTTAAAAAGGACTGACCTAACTGAGTTTTATTTAGCCCCCCCATCCCAAAAGAATATTTTCACCCGTTGCCTATACTTCTCTTTATTCCAAGTCCATAATTACAATTTTGTTATTTTAGCATTTTTTTCCATATCCCAAGCAATTTGTTTTGCAACCTTGATCTGAATGATCCACATGTTAATGGTCATGCCTTTCAGTTACTAACCATTAATCCTGGTCTAACCAAGACAGATCAATCACTGGCTTATTCTGCAGAGTTATTTCTGGATAGATTCTACTCTGATGAAAATAATGTCTAGAAAACTTCAGAAACTATTTTCCTTTAGAAGAAGCAAAAAAAGTTTTCAGACAAATTAAGAAAATGTTTTGCAATGTTTAGACCAAATATAGAAATGTATTGGTGAAGATAAACAGTCTGGCATACAAATAGCCATTAATTCAAATGCACATTTCAAAATGTTGCCAAAATACAATTTCATTACAGCTCTTTAAAAATTAAGTTTCTTAGATTTCAGATTTCCAGAGTTTCCTTCTAACCCCAGAAACTTTGTGCTTCAACACTCCATTTGATATTTTGCATGTTATCTCGTCGTTGTTTAGTATATATGTTGGCTTCGCCCTTCTGTACACGTCGCCTGTTGGCTGCTTTCTGCTGTTTGCTCATTTGTTGCTTAATCTTCTGTTTAATCACTTCCTAAAATAAAAAGCCAAACTTAGTGAAATCTAATTCAAGCAAATTAACAGTGATGGGTTATACCATAAGTAACATATAGAAACATTAACTGTATTCATCTTTAATCAAGCATAAATACAAACGTTTCAATATTCTATCCTGTAGTTCAGTTTTGTAAAAATGGCATGAGTTAGTCACTTTTCTTGAGGCCTGTCTTTATTTTTCTGCAATTGCATAGCAACATTCCTTGCAATTTATGTTCTTCAAAGCTACTTTCTACATACCTGCATTTGTAACAGTTTCTTTTATGTTTGCCCACCCAAGAGAATACGGATATGCATCCATTCAAATTGCTCTAGTTATAAAGCATGAACTTTGTTAACTTAACCTACTATTTTACAGGGAATTAATGGCTATAATTTTAAGTAAATCAACCATATCAATTGAAATTTAAAACTAAAATCATTATGACTTTCCATTAACTGCTCATGAGCTTTTTTAAACACGGAAAATATTAGAAATAATCAACAATGCTACACTGAGACAAATGAGCTTTGTCTCTGTTTAGGCTTCACTAGAAAAAAGAAAAAGAGGCAGTGTAGTAGCATTTAAAAAAAAAGTAGTGGCAGACATTTCCTCCCAAACTCCCCTCATAAAGCTTTTTAAAAGGATGATACACATGTACTTGAAAAGATTTGAGTAAAATGACACATTTCATACAATTTCCAATCAGCCAAATGACACAGGTCATATCATAACCTGATCAAATTAACATTTAAGTATAGAGTGTTAAAAGTAAGTGTGCACACTTCTTTACTGGGACCCATTTCTAACTTCAGCACTCAAAGTGATATCAACTGCAGCCAAAACAGATAAATGCAATGAACTACGCCCTCAACTGCTATGTATAACTGGGAATCATTAATCTAGACAGTGGAAGGTGTTAAAGTGTACATTTAATCCTTATTTTCTTTATGATAATGACTGGTTTCACATTTCTGTCAATGGGCTGTCTTCCATTTAGAAGGATGAGAACACTTTATTGTTGCACATGACACCGACCTTGCTTTTAACATTGACACCTGCCTACTTTGTCCATGACCTATAACGGATTTTGAAGTGATCAAAGAGATCAGGTTACAGATTTCTAGATAATGACACATGAAAGGCTTGCTAAAATTTAAAGCAGTTTGTAGAACATTATTGATATCAAAACTAGCCTTCAGTACAATGCACATACCATCAGAATTTTGACTATGTTACTTGTGAAGCACTCACACTAAATTATAAGGTTTATAAATTAGTATGCACATTCTGGTGAACACACTTAATTTTTTTTCCCCAGTACAAAATGTACCCTGGAGTCACATACACAGTCTACACCACAGACAGCCATAACTCTAGAGGTATACAGAAGATATAAACCGCTAATAAAATGCAAGGCATCTGTTATATATATGTGCATTTTCAGATACAACAGTCCTTTAAATTTTATGGTGGGTAGAGATGAAACATGACAGAAATTTTGAATAAGAAGCCCACACTTTTTACATGGTGCACCCAAAGTACAACCGATGGCTTCAAATATTTAAATCAGGTGGACCAAAACATATGACATGCATTGCAAGTTTGACCATCAAAGCGATGCCACAAAAACACATTTTGCTGATTATGTTGTTACTCAGACAATGTATTGCTCAGACATATGTGAAAAAACAAGGGCAGATTATCTCAGCAAATTCAAGAGGAATTAGATTTATAATCGCTAAAAAATTAAATTAAGTATGAGAGAGTGGTATATGATAAATTATTCTTTTAATACGTTGGGACTGGTCCTCTAAGACACCATACTGTTTTCCGATCCTGTCCATTTCTATGCTTGAGTTATTATTCACTGGATCTGCCACAAGGTGGCACTCTCTCATTATTTCTGGATCAAGATAAAAACAAATTTTCATTGTTGTGTGTGGCATAGGTCTGAAAAAGTACTGCTTTCTCTTTTCTCCAATCAGATACTGTGAATTAATGACAATATCATCTACAAGAAAACATCTAGAAATAGCAGTATTAAAATTGGTATCCCAGGATATTCTAAAGAGATCATGGCTGTAAAATCCTTATGCAGCGAGTCATCACGACCCAGCTGGATAAAAGGTTAAGAGTATTGGGGAAATGGTACAACTGGACATATACAATAGGTGACTAACAAAAGCTTTTAGGAAGCATTCTTGGGATGGGGGAAGAAAGAGAGACACATTTTTAAGATATACTCCAAAAATTTCCAGAAATGTGAGCAGAATAGTAAATTATACAACATGTTTGAAAACAAATCTGACAACAATTTATAACAAATCATAACCAAACTCAAAACAGAAATGTTGCCTTCTAGTCCCACTAATCTGTATCATATAGAAAGCCACACAAATTGTCTGAGAAATCTTTGAATACCAACTTACAGGAGGGATGGTTGAAGTGCTCACAATGCTGCCCACAGAGCTCAAACTTGTAGTCCTCTGTCTATGCTCATTAATGTGCATCAAGCTGAGTTCATCCCTACACAACAAAGAAAGGATTTATAGTACAGCAGAAAGTAGTACACTATTTTTATTGCAACATCAAAAATAATTACCTTTATTTTGTCATGGCTAACAATCCTCAAGATAAAATTGGTTATAAAATTGGTTATCCCACTTCTTTTGTGGAACACTGTGAAATTGGCTGCCGAGTTCACTACACTATAGTAAACCCTGTGAAGGGCTTTTGAGACATTTTAACATAATGGCTATAATTTTGAGTAAATCAACCGTATCAATATTATACAGATTAGTGGAGTCCTGTAACTCAGTGGTTAGAGCACTCGCCTTGCAAGCGAGTTCAATTCCAGGCAGGGCGAAACCTTGGGCAAGTTTCCTTACTCCACACGCCTAATAATAATCCCTCCTAAACCCAAAACAATAATAAATTGGTCATTTTCAATTCACGACTATTTGTAGGACACTGCTGTGCGCAATTGGCTGCTGCATTTTGGCCACAACTATACGGTCAATTCACTTTACAGCATATTCTGTGAAGCGCTTTGAGACGTCTAGAAGATGCGAAAAGCTCTATATTAAATACAGGGATTATTATTATGAATATTATTATAAGGCACGATATCACAATGAAAGGAGCATGGGAAGGTTGGCAAAGGAAGCAGTTGATGATGGAGGAAAGGATTAGGGTTACTAATCCACCAGTTTAAAAAGAGCCGAGACATGTGTTAGCTTGAATATTGTAGAATACCTGAAAGGTTTGAAATCCTTGTTCTGAGTGGAGAGTTCAACTAGGTCTGGGCATTCATTATCTTCTGCTGCTTCAGCATGATGACCTGCTTGATCCATTGTCTGAGTATTGTATTTAAGTTTTTCTTCTCCAGGGAGTTCATCAACAGCATTAACTGCTTGAGCACACTTTCTTTCAATCTCCTCTATGTTTTCTTTCAGTTCACTCAGATCAATATTTTCTATTTCCTTGTTCTCATTGAGCTTCTCGTTCATTTTTTTAGTGATGCTACACTCTGCTGCAGAATCAGCATCATCTTCAGAAAGCAAATCTTGCTTCCCAGCATTTTTATTTGAAAATGTAGGATCATCACCATCCAATTCCTCTTCTGAAGGTCCACTTTCGTCATATTCCTCTTCAGGACCTGCAGAATGGAGCAATTCATCGTCTTCCTGTAGTTCTTTGGTGTAACCACTAACTTCTATCTCCACATCCAGAGTGGATTCTCTCCTGTATAAGTTGTGAAAAATAATTCATACACCAAAGGAACATACTCAACTTCAACTTTAAGAAAACAAATTTGGTATTTCTACTGTGAAAAGACAAACCACACAAAGGAATTTTTAATCAGGCCCATTGAGCTGCAGTGCTCCTGTACTCTCTCTGCCCACCCCACATCTCTAAAACAAAAAGAGCGTGAAAGATAAAATTACACAGGGCTGCCTTTGGAACCCTAAATTATACAAGACCCAGTTGTCAATTACATTTATATATAATTTAATGCAGCTACAACTCGGATACTCTTGATGTAGCCCCATTGACGTTTTACTTTTAAAGGACATTGCAAAATATTTTAAGTAAAGGGGTGTGAATACTGGAAACCTGCATCAGTGGTGTGAGCTCAAATTGGAATTTTGAACATATGCCCCTAACTTGTAAAGAATAGATAATACTACACACAATGCTCCATGTTAAAAATATCATAAATGTTTAATATTTAATTGCAAACAGGTTTGATTTATTCAGGTGCTACTAACCTGACATCCTTGAATGTTGGGAAAAGTTCACTCTCGTAGTGAAAGCGTTTAATGAAAAAATCTCGGATACATTTTACGTCTCTGTCAAAATACCTGCAAGATTAGAAAAATAAAAAAAAGACCAATAATTGTATACATCCTCAACGAAATACAACCACACATAATTTCAATTTATTCAACCCCACCCCGATTATGAACTCAAAGGAACACATACATCTACACATAAAAGGTTAAGTGTCAAGTGATTAATCATTAAGAGGTGTCCAAGGTTAGCAGTAATACAATTCCTGCCCAGCAAAGGAGCTGTGGCGCTACCATATAATATGTAATAATGCTGTTTCATTTGAAGTAATGGTAACTAACCAAACGGGACACCAAGCATTTTAACCTGGGAGTCAAAGTTAAACTCAATGAATCGTGATTTGACTCCTCCTGTTCTCTCTTCATTCTGCTCCACCCCCTCCTCACTGATTGACAGACCAACTCCAGTCACGTTTGAATTGCTGGAGTCAGCTGCCAATCGTAATTTGATTCCTCCCATTTACATCGAGGAGCCCCTTGTGGCTGAATGTAGCCGCTGGACACACAGAAGACCCGAGTGAGTATACATTCAGTGGCGAGCAGTACGCCATTTTGCCCAGAGTAACTGAATTTTCATCCAAATCAACTGGCATATTTAAAACAGGTAGGAATACAAATGAATCATGGCCGAGTGTTTTGTTCAATTTATGACATCTGGGTTTAACCGGCATCCGGCAAAAGCGATTCCACTGAACTTGCATTAATATGATTGAGAAATTATGGGCGCTGTTCTAAGATTGTAAGAAAACAAAATGCTCTATCTTAAACAGTAAAAAAAACACACTACTAATTTCACTTTTGGTGAAACTTACCATTCAGCATTTAGGTGAGATGTAGATACCATCTGTGGGAAGTCAATCATTGTGACACGGTCCTTATCATCCAACATCAAATTGAATTCATTGAAGTCACCGTGAATTAAACCGTGATTAGCAAGCTTCACAATAAGCTCCATGAGCTCACTGTATGTTGCTGCAGGATTGTCAAGTTGGTGCACTTGGCATCTAACCAAAAAGAAAATGAAACTATGTAAACATTTGCAGGCTTCTTCACATCTATAGACTTTACAAGAAATTCCTCATTCTCTTAATTTCTGTTTCTTGCTATAAGATTTTTTTCCCCCAAAACAACTGCATTAAAGATCATTTGAATGCATACGTGTATTAGAAATGCTATTTTTTTTAAAAAAACTGCTGCAATAGAAATACAAGTGGAGCACATCAGTTCATACTGCTGCAGATAACTATCCTTACAAAGGAATTTCATAGTGGGAAATACAGGCATCTTTCCCCATTCAGAATTACTTTATTGCTACAAGTGATTTCAAATTACTTCAGCAGAATAAATAGTATTTAGTGCTTTACGCTTTAGAGAATAGTTTGTCCATATGGACATGTGTTTAACAGTTTGCCTTCACACAAGAGATATTGCAAATAACAAACAAGAGTATATGAAATTAAATGCTTGCATTAATACATGTGAGAAATGAAAGGCGCTATTCCAAGCTTGTACCTTAATATTTAAAACAAACAAAGCAGTTTGTTAGGTTAAATTATAATATATCAAAACCATGATTTGAACTTGGTATTTTAACAAGTTCAAATCATTGTTTTGATATATTATAAGTAAAAATAATTATTAAAAAGGGAAAACCACAACTTCCAGCTGTAAATCAACACTGATTTTAGTCAGTCTTTGCAATCTGTGGGTTGGTAAGCATACTTAAAGCAGTGTAACAGCTGAGAAACATGAAGCAATATGCTCATTGAGCAACTTTCTTGGGTTCAGATGTGAAGGTCTTTACAAACCCTTTGAAAACTGCACAATGGTTCCATGAACCCAGCTGTACAAACATCCCAGTATATGACTCAGTGTCTTAAATGAAAATTTGAGAACTGCACAAAATAGCCTTTGAGAATAAATAAGGACTAACCATTAATAATTTAAAAGAGAGACTTTTTCTTAAGAGACAATTGTGGAACTCGCTCTGTTTTGTAGTGGCAATGCCCATCTGGCAATTTAACCTTCCTTCCCTCTCAAAGGAATTCTTTCACAAAGTTCTTAGTTTCCTCTAAAGAAAGAATGTTGATACTCACAAGGGGAAGCCGTTTATGAGCTCCATAACTACTGCATGTCTGTTGAAGTCCACTGGCTTGGGAACAGGGAATCCTCGGTCGTACAATGCCTTAACACGATAGAATATCGTTTGAGAATATATATTTTATCAATACTTTCCTGAAGTACAATATTCTGCCATAAATCACCCTTTATTGCAGATTAAACAATTTCCTTTCGAAATATTTGCTGTTTTTAGACACACTTCTGAATAAATATCTTGATAAATCTAAATGTATGATAAGTCAATAATAAAATCAAGGGATTCAGATACCAAGCAAATCATATGGTGAAAGTCAACAAGTCCATAAGGTCCTGGGATGAATATCTGCCTTAAAATCTGTGATTGTATAGTACATATAATGCAAGGACATGAATTTTATTTTAGGTCATTTTCTTTCTTTAGCTGGATGTTATGTATTTTGATATAAAGGTACTTTGATCCTGTATGAAGATGAAAACAGTGTTTAGAGGTCAAAAGGCATTATTGATTCTATAACCTAGAACTTAAATTATAGTGAAACACTAGGAGTATTTTTTTAAAAGATTCCAAAAGTAAACCTTGTGCAGATGGTTGCAAGTTCCTTAGATGTTCTGCCATTGTCATTTAATTTTTTTTAAAAATTACTGTTTATAAATACAGTGTGGCCCCATTATAGAACACTTCACCTAAGTGTGAATTTACTTTGTGGACTACCTCCCTTTTCATATACAGGCCACTTTCTGCAATAAAATGGCCAACTTCCAAGTAACAACATACTTCCCACTTTGTGCATAGGCACAGAAAACTAAATGATATTGGTAGTGAACTGAATGGCCGTTTTTCTCTTCTAGTACTGGAACAATCGATCACTCATGGTCAGTCAATCCTGCTATTGTGTCCTGTTATAATACTGATTAAGATTTTGCATCTCCTAGCTCAGTTAGGAGCACTCTCGCCTGAGTCAGAAGGTTGTGGGTCCTACCCTTTAAAAATAATAATCCTTGCATTTGACGTCTTTGAGACGTATCAAAGCAAAGCCCGGCAGCCAATTGCGCACAGCAGTGTCCCAGAAACAGTCGTGAATTGAGTCACCAAATTATTTATTTATTTTTGAACGGATTATTATCCCTGGAAAACCGATCTGCCAAATGACTAAGAACCGGGTTACTACTTACTGCTAGGTGAACAGTGGCGTGTGGAGTAAGGAAACTTGCCCAACATTTCGCCCTGCTGGGAATCAAACCCAGGTCCTCTTGCTTATGAGGCGAGTGCTCTAACCACTAAGCTATAGGAGCTTCAAGCTCCATTTCAGGACTTTGAACTCATATAGTCTCAACTGAATGTCCAGTGCAGTCCTGGGGGTGTACTGCATTGTTGGAGGTGCTGTCCTTTGTATAAGACATTGAACCTGTTCAGCTAGACATTAAAGATCCCACGATATTATTAAAAAAAAGAAGGGAGTTTCTCCCAGGATTCTGGCCAACAATCCGCATATAAAATTGGCCATTCATTTCATGGCTATTTGTGGGACATTGTTGGGTGCACATTGTTTGTTGCGTTCGCATATAAAACATACAGCCACTGCAGTTTACAGGATATCCTGGGAAGTGCTTTGAGATATACTCCCTATATGAAAAGTGTTATATCAAATGCAAGAATTATTATATGCCATTCAGAATATTCATAAATGTCTTATAATTATAAAGCAGTGTTCTTTTATGGTTAGTTGCAATGAGGACAATGGCAAGCAAGAAGGTTTTACCACACCTAACATGAATCTCATCCTTCTTAACAGCCACCACTCACTTCAAGCCCCAGTGCAGATTCAGTGTTCCAAAGAATCAGACTGGCTAAGAAAGAGTTAAGTTTACTTGAGAATGAGATTTAAAACCATTTAAGGGTAAAATACCTTCATGTAGGCATATTCTTTCATTGCTGCAAGACGTGAGAGATAAAGCCATGACATTTTTTGCCTGTGTTTGTGGTAGTCACGCTTGTTCTTCAAGTTCCGAAATGAAGTACGTCCCAGTCGATGTAGTTTCAAAGCATACTGTACCTCATCTTCACTTGCAACTATGTAAATTTCTGTAATCAATATAGAATAGTTACTTTTGTAAATGATCACATTCTATATTTTCAGTGGGCCTCAGCTGTACACTGCCTGAGCACTAAAGGTTGCAGAAGTCTATTTGTTTCCAGTTTTCAGTGCCCCTTCTACCAATGTTCCTGGTTATCACTAGATTCTCAATATACAATCAATACGACTGGCAATCCCACCCTCGACAATACTAGACAATTAAACAAATGTTGTACAACTCATAATTCACATATTAGAACAAGAATACAGTACGATACAGTAAAACTAGCACAAGTCTAACCTGTATAAATCGTACAATCGCCAAGTCATACCCAAGTCCAAGAGCTTACAATCTAAGCAAGTTTGACATAATTCATACTTCGCATAAGTCATATTAAATGTATGGTCCCCAACGATACGACTTATGTGAGGTTTACTGTACAACATATCAGGTTATTGTCAAGACAGGCTCAGTGATCTTATTTTCCCAATTCTTCCTATTGTGGAGTCCAGTGGTTAGAGCACTCGCCTCGCAAGCGAGAGACCTGGGTTCGCCCGGCAGAGCGAAACCTTGAGCAAGTTTTCTTACTCCACACGCCTGATAATAATCCCTCAAGGAAAAAAATAAAATAATTTGGTCACTCAATCCACAACTGTTTGTGGGACACTGCTGTGAGCAATTGGCTGCCACATATCTCCCACAAATATAGTCAATTCACTTTACAGTATATTCTGTGAAGCGATTTGGGACGTCTAGAAGACTGTATATTTGTGGGCGAAATGCAGCAGCCAATTGCGCACAGCAGTGTCCCACAAACAGACAACAACAACAACAGATTCCATTTATAGAGCGCCTTTCACGTCGGGAGGACATCCCAAGGCGCTGTACAGTTGGGTCAGGACCCGAATAGGGGGGAAATGGTCAGGGTGAGGGAAGGGAGGGAGCGAGGAGGGGGTAGAGCGTCGAGAGGGGAGCTGAAGGCACGGTCAAAGAGAAAGGTCTTGAGACCGGCCTTGAAGGAGGAAAGGGAGGAAGCGGCGAAGGCACTGGGGGATGGAGTTCCAGAGCCTCGGGGCTGAGAGGCTGAAGGCCCGGCCACCGATGGTAGGGCGGTTGGGGCGGGGGATGTGGAGCAGACCGGAGCCAGAGGAACGGAGGGTACGGGCAGGTAAGTAGGTCAGAGAGGTAGGAGGGAGCGAGGCCGTGAATGGCCTTGTAGGTGAGGATGAGGATCTTGAATTCGATCCTCTGGGGGATGGGGAGCCAGTGGAGGCGAGCGAGGGTGGGAGTGATGTGGTCCGGAGCCTGGTGCGGGACAGTACACGAGCTGCAGAGTTCTGAATGACCTGCAGCTTGTGGAGGGAGGTGGCGGGAAGGCCGGCGAGGAGAGAGTTCCCATAGTCCAGCCTTGAGGTGATAAAGGCGTGGACCAGGGTTTCAGCAGCGTGAGGGGTGAGGTAGTGCCGTAGTCTGGCGATGTTCCGGAGGTGATGGAAGGCGGTGCCAGTTGTGGTGCGGATATGAGGAAGAAAGGACAGCTCAGGGTCGAACAGAACGCCGAGGTTCCTGACTGGCTTTGAGAGGTGGAGAGTGCAGCCTTGGATGCTGATGGTGTCAGCGCCTGAGGTGCGGAGGCGCTGACGCGATCCAATCAGGAGGGCCTCAGTTTTACACACGTTGAGCTGAAGAAAGTTGTCTCTCATCCAGGACTCGATGTCGGACAGGCAGCTGTCAGGACATCGGTGGTCGTGGAGTTGAGGGTAGAGGAGGAAAGGCAGAGTTGGGGGTCATCCGTGGAAGTTAACCCCATGTCTGCGGATGATGTCACCAGGGGGAGCATATAGAGGGTGAAGAGGAGGGGACCGAGGACAGAGCCCTGAGGGACACCGCACGAGACAGTGCGGGGGCTGGAGGAAAAGCCGTTCGTGGAAACAAAGTGAAGACGGTGGAGAGGTACGACCTAAACCACTCAAGGACAGGGCCTTGAAGGTTGAGGTGGGAGGACAAGCGGTGGAGGAGGATAGCGTGGTCGACCGTATCGAATGCTGCCGATAGGTCGAGGAGGACGAGGAGGCAGAGGGAGCCCTGGTCGCAGATGGTCAGGATGTCATTGGTGACCTTGACCAGGACAGTTTCTGTGCTATGGGCAGCACGGAAACCCGACTGAAAGGGTTTGAATAATGAATGGAGAGGAAAGAGCGCAGCTGGGAGACGACAACTCTTTCAAGGACCTTGGACAGGAAGGGGAGGTTGGAGATGGGCCGGTAGCTTGATAGCTGAGACGCATGAAGGGAGGGTTTTTTCAAGTGGGAGTGATGGTGGCAGTTTTTAAGGGAATGGGGACAGAGCCAGAGGAGAGGGACAGGTTGACGATGTCTGTGATATGTGGGACAAGGAGGTGGAGCTGGGAGAGAAGGAGTGGAGTGGGGATGGGGTCAAGGGAGCAGGTGGTGGGTTTCAGGGATAGGATGAGTTTGGTGACAGAGGGTGGGGAAACGGGTACGAAAGTGTGTAGGGGAGGATGGGTAGGAGTCGGAGTGTGGGAGAGAGGGGGTGGGTGGAGGTTGGAGGGGAAGTGACCGCGGAGCAGATTCCCTTGATTTTGGATTCAAGGAGATCCAGCATCTCCTCACAGTGAAGGTTGGAGGGGATGACCTGCGCGGGGTGGCGGGGGGGATGGAGGAGTCGGGATGTGGTAGAAAACAGAAGCCTGGGGTTGTTCTTCGCCTCCACGATTATCCTGGAGTAGAGGGACGACTTGGCCAAGGCTAGAGTGGAGCGGTAGATTTTGAGGAGGTCCAGACAGATTTGTCAGTGGACTGTTAGGCCAGATTTGAGGCAGACGTGGTTTTGAAGTTACCAATTTATTATTGTTTTATAGCTCACAAGAGTTCAAAATGCTATCCCAAATTTTACGAGTTAAAACAAAATCAATGACATGCAGCGTCTCTGTTGGTTAAAGGGCTTCTAAATAAAACTAATTTTGCAGTCTCCAGTTTGTAGTGGATATGAGACCACAGCACAAAACGGTCCTTAATTTTATAGTAACTTGTCAATCTCCTAGTGAGGCCAGTAATGGCTCTTACATTAAATAAATAGTAATGGCTCTTCCATTAAATAAAAATATCAAACTGGAACAAAATGATGCTCTTTAGAAATTAGGACTAATACATATTTAACAGTGCTAAGTATAGCAAACTTTACTTTGTATTTAACCTGATCCAAAACTCCGCTGCTCTTATACTCACCCGTACTAAACACCCATCAGTTCTAGCCAATCTCCACTGGCTCCATCGCCAAATGGGTCGACTTCAAGATTCTGACACTCATTTTCAGATACCCTCATGCTCTGGCATCTCCCTACCTCTCCGACTTGCTTCCCCCCAACCCACTACCTGCTGCCTCCAACCGACTGTCTCTGGCCTCCTGTACGTCCCTCGCACCCTCCATTCCACTATCAGTTGCCGCACTTTCAGCCAGTACGCTCCGAAACTCAGGAACACTCTTCCTCTATCCCTCCTCCTTACCCCTTCCTTCCCCTTCTTCAGACCTTCCTCTTTGACCGTGCCTGCGGCCACCTCCCCACTCCACCTGGCTCGGCACCGTGCTCCGGCACTGTCATGAGGTCTGGTACTGCCTGCATGAGGAGCTATATATAAATGCAAGTTGTTGTTGTGTTATATCTTACTTAACCAGTACTAATCTGATCTGTCTTGGGAGTGCTTTGTACTGAGACGAGATACCCAAAAAGAAAATGTTTCATTTCCGAGCACTAATGGTCTATTATACCTTTTTAAGTACAAAAAACATTAAAATAGGTTGGAACTCTTCCCCTCCCACCCAATTTAGTGACTTTTAAAATAAAATTGTAAGGCTAACATGTGTAAAATAGTTCCCTGTATGATCAAGTGTCACTTGTGCAAGATGTTTTCTTACCAGATTCTTTGCCAACCCCCATCTGGTTTCCGACAGAATTTATAACGCTTCGAGAAGAAAGAGTTTTCAGAGCTAGGTAATCATATCCTGCACAGGTCAGTCGATAACCTTGGACAGCTTTGAAAAGAAGTCACATTATATAAGTCAAAATAATAAGGATTTAAAGCAAAATGTGCTTAATTATTTTATTTTAGCCAACCTTCTATTGAGGAATCCAAACTATTGATCATTATTATTAAACACTTAGTCATAAAAAGGGTTTGAAGCACATAGTCTACAATTTGCATTCTAATGAAATGCTAACTTAGTATATGTGACCCATGTACAAAAAAAGTGTTATTTTCTTATGAAAACAGATCACATATCTGAAACTTACTTTTTGTTCGTTCATAGGCTAACAGCTTATGTTTCACCAATTCATGTAGGACTTTGTTGCATCCACCATGCTTAAGATTGGATATTGAAGCAATAAGGCTGGGTGGTACAATTTCATGATTCTTCATTCCCATTTCAACCTGGAGATTAGGAAGTGAAAAAGACACATTGAAGATGGCAAATTTTAATCAAGATTTAAAAATATAGGAACATAACTACCAAGAAGATTAACAAAAGTCACTTTAGTGATCAAAAACTAACTACATTTAATCTTCATTAGACAACCACAGAAAAGCTGTAAATTGACCTAGTTTCCAATGTATTCTGGATCAATACTTTTTGCATCCCAAGAATACAGGAAAAAGTCATGAAGCTCATAAATCAGCTCCATATAACATTTAGAACTTTTAAATCCATTTGCATGAATGAATGCATAAACCTCTTTTCAACAACCTAATTAATTCTGGGACAGTGAATTCCACATTTTCACAAACCAAGTGAAGAAATATTTTCTTCACATAATTTTAAGGGTATATTATGCTCTCTATTTGATCAAAATTAATGTTTTCCATTTGGAGTTTGACTACAACACATACAGAATCTATTATTTGATCTATCCTTAGTTGCAAACCTTTCAGACTGGTTCAGCCTTGCTAACTCCTTCCCTACTTTCAAAAACCTCAAAAAATTATCTAACAGTGCCATGGTAAACAATTTTAAATCTCTTATATTGCTGCTCAATATCCACTAACGACAGTTGTCATGTAGTTTTTCTGGTTAGCTGGATGTCTGACACATGCAAAAAGCCATCAACCCAATTCTGACTATCCAAACCAGGCAGAGTTCCACATATGCCACCCAACATTGAAATTTGCACTCTGTTCCTGGAGGTATGCACCAGCTAACATCACTTAATCTGTCATGGAGAATACAGCCTGTGTAGCTTACCACTGCTTTCCCAACCAGAACCACACTACCCATTGGGGCTTTAACCTGCAGGGTTAACAGGAGCTGGAAAACTCTCTGCTCCCAGTGACTGGTCTACTGATCCAAGTCCTGCTGATGAGTCAGACTATCCGTCTTTAACTCCTCAATCCCTCTCCCCACCACTGCTCAACCCACTTCCATCTCCTACCGCCACTGGAAAACAAATCTCTCCGCAATCCCTCTCTGCTGCCCTGGAGTCATCTGAATTCCTCCCCCTCTGGCCTACCTCCTGCAACTGATTTATTGCTTTCCTCCTTTGCTCTTCCTGTGTTCGTAGCGGTTCCAGACTCTCATGTGCAGTGCGGCGCAAGCAGCAAATGAGCTTCACTGCACTCGCAGAGGCCCTGCTGTTGTGGTTGTCTCTCTCTCTATGTGTTTGTGAGTGTGTCTCCTCTGTATGCATTTGTGTCTCTGTGTGAGTGTGTCTCCGTTATACCACAAACCAATTCCTCCGTCCACCCTCCCATGCCTCTGCCATCCTCTCCTCCAACGCCAAATGTGAGATGATGGACTTCCTCGAATCCAAAGTCAAAGGGATCCGCTCTGCCCCCTCTACCGACACCGCCCCCCCCACTTCCCACCCCTCCCTCCACACTTTTGACCCTGTCTCCCCCTCCGCTCACCTGTCATTTCCAGTATGAAATCCACCACCTGGTCCCTTGACCCCATCCCTACCCCTCTCCTCACCTCCCAGCTCCACCTCCTTGCCCCCCTACCTCATTAACGTCTTCCTGTCCACTGGCACCGTACCCACCCCCCTATAGACAGCCATCATCACCCCGACCCTCAAAAAACCTTCCCTTGACCCATCTCTGCTCTCCAACTACCACCCCATTTCAAACCTTCCTTTTCTATCAAAGGCCATGGAATGAATTGTTGCTTCCCAGCTTTGCTCTTTCCTCTCCCAGCATTTCCTCCATTAACCCTTCCAATCTGGGGTTCATGCTGCTCGCAGCACAGACAGACCCGGTCAAAGTGACAAATGACATTCTGTCCGACCAGGGCTGTCTCTTGTCTCCTCATCCCTCTCGACCACTTTCGATATTGTTGACAACTCTATTCTTCTCCACCGCCTTTCCTCTCACCTCCATTTCAATGGTTCTGTTATTCCTTGGTTCCAATCCTATCTTTCCCACCGTCTGCACTTCTTGGTCACCAACGGCTTCTCCTCTAGCCCCCACACTGTCACATGTGGCATCCCTCAGGGTTCTGTCCTTGGTCCCCTTCTCTTCACTCTATACATGCTCCTGTTCATTGATGTCATCCGCAGGCATGGGGTCAATTTCCACATGTATGTGGATGACACCCAACTCTATCTTGCAGTCTCCACCCTCGACTCCAGGACCGTTGAGGTCCTCGCTAATTGTCTGTCTGACATCAGGTCCTGGACGAGAGCCAACTTCCTCCAGCTCATTGTTGGCAAAACAGAGGCCCTCCCGCTTGGCTCCTGGCAGCGCCTCCTCACCTCAGCTGCTAAGACTATCACCATTCAGGGCTGCACTCTTCACCTCACTGAGCCAATCCGAAACCTTGGTGTTCTTTTTGATCCTCAGCTATCTTTCAAACCCCATATTCGTAGTACCAGCTTGACTACGCTAACTGCCTGCTCAATGGACCTCCCAATTCTTCCCTCCACAAGCTGCAGATTATTCAGAACTCTGCAGCTCGTGTCCTCTCCAACATCAGACTCCGGGAACCTCCGTTCTTGCCCGGATCCCCATTCCTCAGAGAATCGAGTACAAAACTCTCATTCTTATGTTCAATTCCCTCAACGGTCTTGCTCCCCCCTAGCTCTCCGACCTCATAACTCCATATCAGTCTGCTTGACGTACACAGGCCTGCTTCAGGGCCCCCGCACTTCCCGCTCCACCATTGGCGGTCGGGGGTCAAGCATCTCTGCCCCACACTCTGGAACTCTATACCGCAATCCTTCCGCCTCAACCCTCTCTCTTGCCTCCTTCTAGTCCCGCCTGTAGGCCTTCCTCTTCGACCGTGCCTTTGGCCACCCTCCTATCCCCACCCCCTACCCTACTGACCCCAACTCAGGTCAAAATTCCAATTGTCCAGCACCCTGGGACGTTTTTCCGATGTGAAGGGTGCTATACAAGTGTAATTTGTTGTTGTTGTCTCCGTGTGTGCCTCTTCTCTGTATGCGTGTCTGTTTGTGAGTGTGTCTGTGTCTCTTCTATACGTGTGTGTATTTGAGTCTCTTTGTGAATGTGTATCTCTCTCCTCTGTGTGTGTGTGTGTGTACGTTTCTGTGTCTGAGTCTCTCTCACTCTCTGAGAATGTGTGTCTCTGAGTGCGTGTGTCTTTCTCTGTGTCTGTGAGTGTCTCTCTAATTCTCTCTGAGTTGCTGGGCACTGAGAGGCAGGAGGTAGTGAGCTCCTGTAGCACCGCTGTCAAGACACTAGTCCTGAGTGTCTGCTTTTGGCGGATCTCTGGGTCCTTCCGGCCTGCGATGGTATCTCGTCTCCCCAAATGGGCCACCCAGTTTTATGTCATTTCCTAATTTTAGCTTTTATCAATAAAGTGAAAAAAATGTAGGTTGGCAGTAAAATGCACCTCAATAGCACCAATCAACCGCCACAAATTACCGTGCAATATTGGGCACTTTTCTATTGGCCCAAGTCAAGATTTTGTTTCTGTGATTCAATGCAGCTGGTAAGTGCGGTAGCGGCATCAAAAGTTAGATGATTCGTATAAAATTTAGAATGTATTTGGGCCCAAGAAACCATTACAGTTTAGCTGTTGATCTGATTCATAAAATAATAATACTTACATTTGATACAGTGCCTTATCAGGTCTTCAAGACGTCTCAAAGGGATTCACAAAATATACTGTAAAGTGAATTGACTGTATATTTTGTGGGCGAAACGCGGCAGCCAATTTCGCACAGCAGTATCCCACAAACAGTTGTGGATTGAGTGACCAAATTATGTATTTTTTATTATTATTATCATGATGTGGGTTTGTTTCCCATTGCTAAACCCGCCGTGGCTTTACTCCCCCCTACCTCTGCGTCCTCCTAACAAGCGAGATACCTGGGTTTGATTCCCGGCAGGGTGAAACCTTGGGCAAGTTTACTTACTCCACACGCCTTGATAATAATCCCTCAAGAAAATAAAACAATAATAAACTGATCACTTCAATCCACGACTGTTTGCGGGACACTGCTGTGCCCAATTGGCTGCCGCATTTCGCCCACAAATTCACTTTGCAGTATATTTTGTGAAGCGCTTTAAGACGTCTAGAAGACGTGTAAAGCACTACATCAAATGCAAGGATTAGTGTTATTATTATCCCGCCCGCTCCCTCCGCTCAGCGGGCTCCGGCCTGATTCACGTCGCCCACCCCACCATTGGCGGGGGCGACTTCTGCCACTCTGCCCCCACCCTCTGGGACTCCATCCCGCAGTCCCTCCGCCTCGCCCCCCCCTCCCTTGCCTCCTTCAAGCCTCATCGTAAGACCCTCCTCTTCGACCGTGCTTTCGATCAACCTCCTTCCCCCCTCCCTGATCCCGACCCCCCGCTCGGGTCCTGACTGTCCAGCGCCTTGGCATGTCCTCCTGACGTGAAAAGCGCTGTAGGCATGTAATCGTGTTGTTGTTGTTGTTGTTGTTGTAGCTTGCCAGTGATATCACGGCCTGGCAAGCTTTCCCACTGCTTGTCCAGCTCGGACTACCCTACAAATGACTCCGGGCTGTGGCTTACAGGGACAACGGGAGCTGAGTGGGAAGAGTCCTTGCTCGCAAAGCTGTTTTTTTTTAAAAAAATATCTGCTTCAAACTGGGCCTCGGGTCAGGCTTGTGTAACTGAAATTATCTTTTAAGTTGGCCGGTTTGTAGTGCGTGGGACACGCGTGGGCCCCGGGCCGCAGGGCCGCGAGACTGGCCCCCGGGCCGCAGGGCCGCGAGACCGGCCCCCGGGCCGCAGGGCCGCGAGACGCCCCGGGCCGCAGGGCCGCGAGACTGGCCCCCGGGCCGCAGGGCCGCGAGACCGGCCCCCGGGCCGCAGGGCCGCGAGACCGGCCCCCGGGCCGCAGGGCTGCGAGACCGGCCCCCGGGCCGCAGACACACCTACCCCTGTCAGCACTCGGAAGTCCTCTCTGGTCAGGTATCTCAGGATCACCACATTGAGCTTCCCCATGGCGCCGGCGGCCGTTGGTCCCCAGAACCTCACCGGCCGTTCAAACCCGCGCGGATCAGCTCACGCGACTGTACCCCCCCCCACAGTCCCCGCTGTCACTACGCACGCGTGGCAACGCTCCTCCCCCCCCACACTGCACCATTCTGCGCGTGCGCGTCACTCGCCTCCGCATCCCTCGCCCATGTGGTCAGATTGGGCGGGTTCACGCCCGTTTTGGGCGCGTTTCTGTTGATAACATTGCGCGAGAAAGAAACGGCTTTGGGCGACACCCCTTTTTATGTTTTTCTTTCAACAACGCTAAAACGTGTTTTTCTCTCCCTTCGCCGTCCTCTTCTAAAAAAACAATACCATGACCAGGCCGCTCTGCCGCCCGCTTGGTAGGCAAAAACGTCACACTTTTGGGCTACACTTGGGCTCGGACTCGGTGGACTTTGGGCTACAAACGTGTAACACTGGGTATTGCGCGGTACCTCTCTTTCGGCGGTTGGATGAGGACGTCAAAGCATTTTGAACACACACACCAAAGTGCGTCAAATCTCTGGTCATTGCCCTGCCCAGTCCTGCCCGCCCAGCCTTGCCCTGCCCAGTCCTGCCCGCCCAGCCTTGCCCTGCCCAGTCCTGCCCGCCCAGCCTTGCCCTGCCCAGTCCTGCCCGCCCAGCCTTGCCCTGCACTGCCAGCCCAGCCTTGCCCTGCCCAGTCCTGCCCGCCCAGCCTTGCCCTGCCCTGCCCAGCCTTGCCCTGCCCAGTCCTGCCCGCCCAGCCTTGCCCTGCACTGCCAGCCCAGCCTTGCCCTGCCCAGTCCTGCCCGCCCAGCCTTGCCCTGCCTGCCCAGCCCAGCCTTGCCCTGCCCAGTCCTGCCCGCCCAGCCTTGCCCTGCCCAGTCCTGCCCGCCCAGCCTTGCCCTGCCCAGCCTTGCCCTACCCTGCCCGCCCAGCCTTGCCCTGCCCTGCCCAGCCTTGCCCTGCCCAGTCCTGCCTGCGCAGCCTTGCCCTGCCCGCCCAGCCTTGCCCTGCCCAGCCTTGCCCTGCCCAGTCCTGCCCGCCCAGCCTTGCCCTGCCAGGCCAGCCTTGCCCTGCCCAGTCCTGCCCGCCCAGCCTTGCCCTGCACTGCCAGGCCAGCCCTGCCCTGCCCACGCCCAGCCTTGCCCAGCCCTGCCCAGCCTTGCCCTACCCTGCCCGCCCAGCCCTGTCCAGCCTTGCCCTGTCCAGCCCAGCCTTGCCCTGCCCGTCCAGCCTTGCCCTGCCCTGCCCGCCCAGCCCTGTCCAGCCCAGCCTTGCCCTGCCCGCCCAGCCCTGCCCAGGGAGGAGACCTCCACACTCGCACACTCACACACACACACGTGAGTGAGGGCCTCGGCTCGCTGACAGCTCGTAACTAACGTGTAACTCACTCGAGAATGTTCTCCAAGAATAGGAGCCCGGACCTGCCCCAGGTACAGCTTCCTGCGCCCCCCCATCTCTCTCTCTCTCTCTCTCTCACACCTACATCTCCTGCTCGTGTTTAGCTTATTTATCCCATTAATAACCCCCATTATTATTTGGGTGAATTTGTTGTTCGGTTAATCGTTGAGGGACGCGATGGTTGTTGCTGAGTGAGCAATGACGTTTGAGTAATTTAAACATAGGTCCTGCCAGTCCTGGGGGGGGTTATACCCCACCCGAGTCTCCACCCATTCATTTACTCCCTTCCAGAACCTTCTGCCTGCGGGTGCTTTTGTACACAACTGGGAAACGTTTTAGCTTCTAGTGGATTTTCACTCTGTCCTTTCGGTATTCCACGCTTCCTTCTGGAGGGAGATTGGTTTGGGAACCAGTGTCGGTTATCCCAGCTTTCAGAGGCAATTCTCACTCCAGAACTTCAGAAGGTGGATGGAAAGAACCTAATGTTTGGAGTGGCTAACCCGTTACCCTGTAACACATGGCTGTGGAAGGGAGCCCACATTTAGGACCCAAAGCCAAAAGGAATCTCTCAATTTCATTCGTAATTGGGTCAGAAAATAGTAGGCTTAAATTTCGGTTGGAGACTTTGAGCTTATGGTCCTAGACTGATGGACATGTTTCCTGGATGTGGGGGTATATAAGCAGTGGTCTCCTTGGAGTTGACCTGGCTATAAGGTGACCTACTTGGCAATTGAACATTTGAGTCGAATCAACCCTCTGTGGTTGTCTCAGCAGTCCGGTTTCTGAACCAGGCAGTTCCGCAGTACTTCAGGGTATTACTGATGACACACTGGGTAGTCTAGCTCTTCGGCAGGACTTGGATAGGTAGACTGGGAGCGGGGATTCTTCCCATTCAACTATCATCCCTGCAAGTCAAAGCATTAATGGGTAGCATTGCCCTAGCTGCACAAGCCAGTGGGATACTTGCCAGAGGGTGCTTTCAATGGCAACCACACAATCGGTTCAGATGAAGAAGGTCCTTCGGCTCATCTGACCTTATCCTTCCAAAAAGCCCTTCCATCTCAGCATCAACCTTTTTTTTAAATGAGTCCAGTGTTCTGACCTCTGACGTCCCTTTCCACGCAATGTTTTCCAATTGTTAATTACCTTCAAGGTATGCAAATAGGACTCTAGTTTAACGTCTCATCTGAAGGATGGGCATCTCCAACAATCTAAAACAAAAACGTAAGTCGGAAGGCACACTCAGCACGTCAGGCAGCATCTATGGAGAAAGGAAAGTGAGTCAACGTTTCAGATCCACGACCCCATGTGGTTTTAGCTGTTTGAACAACAACAGAACCCCAACACACATTCTGGAGTTCCCAAGCAATGGCTCTTGCCAACCTGTGCCTAATACTCTTTGTGTTGGGTAAGCAGGGTGTGTCCCTCCAGGAGAGGATATCCCATTCCAGACAGGGAAATTTCCATGTAAAGGTCGTGTACATAAGTCGAGCTCTCAGTCTGTTTTAGGTACTCTTAAGCATGATGATGGGTTTCTGCATGTGTCAGACACCTGGATGACAAAAACAATCTAGGCTGACAACACACTGCAGCATTGGATTAGGGTTGACATTGTTGGAATTGCCATCATTTGAATGAAAAATTAAACTAAGGTCCCATCTGCATGGTCAAGGACATTAAATAACTCATGGAACTATTCAAAAAGAGAAGAGTATTTATCCTGGCTAACAATCGTCCAGTTAAATTGGTAATTCACTTCTTGGTTATTTTTAAGGACATTATTGTGCACAAATTGGCCACCCCATTCACCTGTAAATACAGTCATTACCCTTAACACCAATTACTGTGAGGTGCTTTGAGACATTTTGGCGTGATGATAACAGTGATCCTTACATTTGATATAGCATCTTTCATGTTGGGAGGACATCTCAAAAGGCTTATAAGGTTGTCTATAAAGTATAGTGACTATTTTAACAAAATGTAGGCAAATGTGGCAGCCAGTTTTGCAGTGCACTTCAATGTCCCACACATATCAATGGAGTGATAAGGCGCTCTATATCAAATGCAAGGATTATTTATTTTATCTGATTTAATCTACTTTGTTATCTACTGGCTTTAATTAAGACTAAATTTATGAATTTCACAATTATAATAACCTTTGTATTTGAAATAGCGCCTTATCACGTCTCAAAGCACGTCACAGGATATACAGTAAAGTGGATTGACTGTATTTTGCAGGCAAAATGCAGCAGCCAATGGCACATAGTGATATCCCACAAACAGCCACGGAGTGAGCAACCAATATTATTGCCCTAATGATTGTTGATCAGGACACCGGGAGAAACTCCTTTCTCTTTTTGAATAGTGCCATGGGATCTTCAACATCCACCTGAATTGCTTAATATCTCATCCAAAGGACAATTTCTGAATGCTCTGAAATGCTAAGTAAATAGTGCAAATCTGGACTCAAGATGACATTTCTTCTAGGTCTTATTTCTTCGAATTTGAAGCAAACGTCATATATCGTTGGACCATGTTATAAGGTGCCTTTTATAAGGCAGGTTTGCTTATAAGCTGGATGCCCTGTTGCCTTCGATTCACAGACCGGCTGCCTTCACATGTGTTGGGTAGCTGCTAAAGATTGGACGACATCCATTGTCAGGGTGCAGATGATGTCAGTTACATTGCGCTGGAATTTTATGGATCGCAACTGTAGTCTTATACAGGGATTCTTCTGTATCGTGTTCCTGCCCTTCTTCCCTACTACAGGCCTTTATTTTATTTGCAAAGAAGGCGACCTTTGTTGTATCTCATGCAGTTCAAGGTCGGAAGGTCAGCTGGTCACATCTATGGCATGGAAGGGAAGAGGTCACATATGTGACCTCTCTGCTTCAATGACATCAATGTTAAAACATCTGAAAGAACCTCAATCTTTCATAATATCTGTTTTTAACCCACAAGAAAATTATTGGCTAGGGAAATTCCACTGTTACATGAAAGATATGTATACAGTATTCAAGGATTTACATAAATTGGTAACCTTTTTTTCTCTTGTGAATTCCTCCCCCTCACCCCACCCCATTTTGTTAGATTATTAATATTCTTGCAGGAATTTAGCGATGCAAGAAACAGCATCTTGCCCTTTCCCTTTCTCTCTCATAGGTAGTTAGGTAATAAAGTTCCCTTTCTGTTGAGCGCACGGTATAGGCAGTGCAGTGCTGGAGAAGGTGTTGTAAGGATGAGATGTTAAAACCAGGTCCCATTTGTCTATTCTGGTGGACACTAAAGATTCCATGATACTATTTGCAAAGAGAAGGGAGGTTCCCCTGGTATCCTGGCCAACAGTACCCCAGATAAATTAGTGATTCAATTCAAGGCTGATTATAGGACACTACTTTGTAGAAATTGGTTGCCACTTTTGTGTACAAATATACAGTCACTTCACTTTACAGCAATTGCCTATGAAGCACTTTGTGACATTTCAACATTATAGGTGTGATATCGAATGAAAGGATTCTTTTTTGCTTTAACAGGAAGGAAATTGGGAAAATACTATTGTCACTTTTCTAGTTGTACATTACTTATTTGTACCAGCAGAGGGAGGTATGACGTTTGCATAATTATCAACATCCTCTGGTGGGTGAAAGCACAGATTGGATTTGTCCATTTTCCCTAGGATTTGAATATTTTCA